TAATCCCTTATTTACACATTTGCCTTACATGCAAAAACACACATGCAGAATCTTTTTCTAATAGAAATTTTAAGCCTAACTATCCAAGCAGAATGCATTTCTAACTGTTCCATAAAGAGCAATGTTTTTTTCCTCGACTCTAATTTGTATTTCTAACTTTTTTTTTTCAATGTTTTTTTCCTCGACTCTAATTTGAGGCTTTTTTTTCCCCCAGTTTTGTTTTTTACTCTGACGTCAAATCCACTGAAGATAAAACGAGATGAAACCTGTCTGAACTCTGTGTCTTTAGAAACCCCTGATGTAAAAATTCTTCCGATTTGCCTCTGTCCATGCAGAAATACAAAACTCTCTTTTGCTGATTATTGTCTGACTCCTGAAGTGGAAGAAGCACTTTTTCCCCCCCACTCTGTCATATTTAATTGCAGAGGAAGCCAGAAAAGAAAATCGTGAGTGAGAATACGCGGGATGACATGCGGGGATTTTTGTCAACACATACTTTTGAAGTTCCCCTCCAGTAACCTCACAATCAATCTGAAATACTGCAAGACGCCCTGCGAGTAAATGAGTGGTTAACAAGCTGAAGAATGACTAATTCTCATTCCTGCCAACAGGATACGGGAGAAGTGGACAAAAAACTGCTGCACAGCTGAACCCAATATTTATATCGCCTGTACTTGACATTAAGTGAAATGCATGGTTTTAAATTGTTTTAATCAAGGAGTCTTTTTTAAAAGAATGAAACCTTTGCTTTTTCATGACTGATTAATGACGTAATCAGTAGGTAATTGGTGCGCCCTTCTAGTTTTGATTGAATAACTGAATCTCAATGACCATGTCATGTGACTTTTTCACTTACTGAATGAACTCTGAGCTACTGCGTCACTTTAAAACATGTCTACACCTGTTTTCCACTTTGTTGACAGAGCTATTGCCTGAGGCTCTATGTGTGTGTATGTGTGTGTGTGTAACTGTACCTAGCTCTTGGGACAACAGAAGAGGTGAATTTAGAAGAATATTCGCCCGGAGGAAAATGAAGACCCGTCACTGCCGATGTCGCGGGGCTCACTCGTTGTCCCACAGTCTCTGTCGTACCGGTAGCTAAAGTTAGCGAGCTACTCGCTATTGAATTAGCTGCTAGCTCAACGTCGTCTTCTTCTTCGTATCTCGGAGCGAGTAGTTCACTCAAAACTACGAATAAAAGTCACAAATAAGTCCTCGAGAGAGTCCGGGTTAAACGTCTTTACGAACCTGGTCAAAAAATATCTACTCAACAGTCTGTTTTCGTTACTGTACTACATGCTGCTCCTCCTGCAGCTATCTCCCCCTTGTTATAGTCGTACCAACACCTGAGAAGTGACGTTCCGGCATTTGCTTATGAACCCCCAAAATACTGGTTCAGACACTTTTTACAGATACATATCTTTTAAATAAAACAATAAACATATATTTTTAAACGCATTTTAAACATTTTTTAATGCTTTAATGCTATCCCTTAATGTTTTTTTACTGGGTTACATAACTTAATGGAGTTACCTCACTCATTGTGAAAGCATGAGTTTTGTGTTGGTCGAGATGGTCAAATACTTTGGGTTCCTTTAGTCTAAAATACGCATATCCAGACAAAACACAGAGATGCACTTTTTACTTTACAAAATACTCTTTAAAACAATCATTCACTCTCATTTACACCGACAACTAAAACTTTCCAGTTGACTAAACCCCCAGCTGTTAAATCAGAGATGGTAGATTTACCACACTTGTCACGTGAGCTTCCGCGCAGCAGGAGCCCATGAACATCTGCATGATGTTCCAGAATTCACCAGTTATCGATGTCTGATTTCAGGCAGTATATAAAATATTCCCAGTCTGACTCAGACTCCACGCTGCAGTCTCAATTTCACAGTATAATCAGAGAAATCATGATCAGAGTGAAAGGTCCTGAGGCCACTGCTTCCTGAGTGGGATCGGAGCCGCTCATCTCTGGCGTTCCTTCCCGGCGCAGTCTGCCCCGGCTGATGGATTTCCAAAGTGTGCATTGGCCAAAGCTATTAAGTGCTCTGCTGGAGCGAAATGGTTTTTACTGCTGCCGAGGTCCTGCTGCCTGCCACTGCTCGGGTACTTCCTGTCTGCTATTGTCTCACATGTCTATAACTCAGTTCATTCCTGAGTAGACAAACCCTGATGTATGTTCTCTGCTGACAGACGCAACGAATACAAGGCAGAAAAAAAAAACAGGAAAGACTTTTTTAAATTGCAGCAAAGGCAAACTTTTATATATCAATTTGAACACAGACTCATGAGACTAACTGAGCTAACCTTCAGCCACTAAACTGTATGATGTTGCTAAGCTAACTTTTAGCACTATTCGTCACATACAGGTATAGTTTGTATAGAATGGTTACATTTTTAGCTTCTTTGGTTTCGTGTCATTAAGATATTTTAGGTAGCTTTGGGAAACCTATTTGGGCCACATCTAGAAGTCGAAAAAGTTGAAAAGTTTTGAGAAAACTGACGGACGTATGGTTAACACTTACACATCTAAACTTTGGATTTTAAACTAGTAATATTTTAAGTTTATTTCCATGTGTGTGTTACAGCTTGTTTCTTATAAAATTACATTTTTTTTCCTCTGAAATTTTTTCTAATTTTTTTTAAAAACTGAACGTAAACGTAACATTTCGAGCTGACCCTCGCAATTTTATTTATTTATTTATTTATTCTCAATGTGGCCCAACTCCGCTGTACAGCAGATACAGTCATTTTTAGTTAACTTTAGTTTCCCTAGTCTAACATTTAGCTATTGCCTAACCAAACTTTATTTCAGTTGTTTTCCTCTCCACCAAATCATGTCTTACCAATTTTATTTCTATCAGACAATTCAAATTTTGTCTTTCGTACCTGGTCACCTCCTGCTTCTTTGCCTCGTCTAGCTCTCGTCTAAGGTCAAACAGGTTGAGTTGATCAAATTTGAAAAACCAAAGATATCATATGATAAAACTTGTCAAATCTGTTCCCAACGACCAGGAGACGTGCCGTGGCATGTTTCAGCTGTTAAAATTGGCACATTTGAAATTATCATTAGCACTTTTCTCATCTGGGACACAAAAGACAAACTATTTTGAAATGACATGTTACGTGGAAAGAGACAAGGACATTGTGTGCTCTACAAAAATCCAAGACATTTTCCAAAAATGTCTTTTTTGAATAATATGCCTAT